CAAGAGAAAAGGGCAATAAAAAGAAAATAAATAAAGTTTATATGAGTATTTTGGTAATTTAATGTATTCCATCATCCGACTTAATGGCTAGGGTGTATTTGTCTCATGGCTAAAGTTCAGGGGGTCTTTGTCGCTAAAAAAATTATAAGGTCTTTGTCACTGATTCCATAGTACATGGGGTTTGTAATTTAGCCTATAAATTTTTATGTTTTTTCTTTTAATAATTTATTAAAATTTTTAGAATTTGAATAAGATGGATTGTATTCAGATATATGACATCCTTAATGGATTCCAATTCGAGTCACCATTTGTGAGATTTGATCATATCTTTGGATCGGATCGGGCCTCCAATATGTGGTATCGGATCGGATTCAGATATAGCTTGATTCAAATCTGATTTGAAAGAGAAGAGTAATATTAAAGAAAAAATATTATATATATATATATATTTTATTATAAAAAATATATTTTTATTATATATATAATACATTATCAAGTCAGACTCGAGCTCGGGCCAGACTTTTTTGAGAAAGCCCGAGCCCAAACCCACGGGCTTGAAATCCTATTCAAGCCCGACTTAGGTCGGGCTGGGCCATCAGGTTACCCGATCCATGAACAGGTCTACTTACAACATAAAATGTTTGCTTGTCCCTGAAATATTAATCTCCCATTTGTGTTCCAAGGTTCTTGGCATCTTTGTATCCATAATCTGATTACCTTCTTGCTTGGCAAATACACTTGTTGTTCAGTTATAAGTTGGTTTGCAATTGCTCTCTATTATATCTTGATTACGCAAAATGAAAAATGTTTTAAAGACATCTCAGCTTCGATACAATCAACTATCATGATGATTAATAATATCTACCAACTTATAAACATATCCAATGAGGTTGCTAGTCCCCATCCTCAGGTACCTATGGGGTAATATGTGTTTCTCAAAGTGCTTTGGCATTACAGGGGAATTTCTTCAAACATGAGTTCTTTAGAAGAGGTGGAGTTAAATGCAATCTCGCAAAGAGTCCAGTTCACAACCCAATTCTCTCGAGGTCATATTATGGTTTTCTCAGACTCTAAAGTTGTGGTGCAAGCTCTCCAATCTAATGGTTCTCTCTTGTGGTCATGCACTCATGCTTTTGGTTGCTCTCCAAAGTTAAAGAATCTCTTCAGCAGTTTAGTGACATTTCCTTTTGTTTTGTAAATAAAGTACACTTTAATTCTTCAGCCCAAGGTTCAAAGTATCGATATGCCCCTGTGTATCGGTAGGGGCGTATTGGTACTAAAAAAATATCCGCTTAATGAGTTTTTTTTTTTTGTTTTTGTTTTTTCAAAATTTGACTTTTAAAGATGTTTTTAATGGTTTTTTTATTGAAATAAACGAGAGTCCCAAAATACCTGTAAATAGGTGTATCGAGACCAAAAGATACAATATGATATTACCCGATACAGGGCGTATCATATCAATACTTTGAACCTTGCTCCACCCCACTTGATAGCCTCTCAAGCAAAAAGTTTACCCCAGGAAAGGATGTATTTGTCTAAATACCCCCATGGGGATGGGGGTTCCGGATGTGAAAAACTTTGTAGATGTCTTGCCGTTATAATATGGTCGGTTTAACTATAAAAAAAAAGTATTACAACATAAAAGGTGTAAATTGATTTGGGTTGGCTTTGGCTAAGGATTTGTTGAATTTAAATGGACCTGATTAAAAGCTTATTATGGGCCTGATGCCATGTAGTTATGCAAAATTGTGTATCCGATTTGTACCTCCATTGGTGCATTGACTGTGTTATGGCATTTCATAAAAATCGTCATCTTTTCTTCACTTTCCATGTAACAAATTAGATGGGTAATTCAAGATGACCATAATGATTCAAGAAGGGAAACTCTAATGTTACTGGAAAAGTTATGATCAATCAAAACACCCCGTGAATTTTGGTTAATACCACCTCATTGGTCATCTCTTTTATGATTTCAATTGATTGGCTGTAAGTTTTTCCAATATCATGTCTTTCTTATAGTCAAACCTGTTTAAGAAACATACATAGGGTGGCATTAAATGACCTCTATCACAATTCAGAAAAAAACTTGGACATCATTAAATGTAGTAATATTTTTCTTTCTTTTTACCTTTTGCAGCAATAACATTCATAGTTGTTAAGAAGGGCCATATGGTTGCTTAGAGAGTTTCTCCCTCAGACAAGTAACATCTTATTTTCTCAAGAAAGTGCATCTCAATTCAAAAGTAGTTACTTCCACTTTTAAAACAAAAGTTTAATTCCTTAGACATGTTTCTATCTACTCAAAAAACATTATGGGCTTCAAATGGTAATTATCTCCACTCTCAAAAAAGTTGGTGATAACTTCTTCCACTAAAGAAAAAAAAACTCATTGCAAATAATGTAGGATCCACAAAGTAGGTTATTATAGAAATAAAATTTGATTTAATCTCTTAAATTAAATAACAAATTTATATACAAAAAAATCAATAAAATAATAACCCAAATTTACAACATAAAAAATGAGTGTTAAATAAAACTAATTAGAATACATGAATAAAAAAATATCAAAATACTGGGCTTGTAATTAGCATAGGGGATCATTCTTTGGTAGAGATATTATGATTTGGATCATATTCTGCATCTAAGACACACCATATAATTGCCACGTCATGTGCTACATCAAGAACCATGTTTTGTTGTTGAGGTAATAGGACTAATAGCTATAAAATTTGTGTTAAAAAAGATCATTTTCTTTTGTTTTGAAACCATGAAAGCAATAGTGTACAAATAGTACATGGAACACCCCACTGGTTTCCTACCATTTGTGTTAAATCTCAACATTTGTACTTAGAACTGCAGAAATACCGCATAATCACCACATAAGCATTTTGTGGTATGAAATTTGTGTTTGGGTTGGATAGACTTAAGTTCTAATATTTGTACCACTGGTTGCATAAGATTAAAACAGTGCTGAAATCCACCATCCACACACTACCTACAAAAGAACTATAGTTGCCGGAACATTTATAGTACTTGTATCTTATCATTCATGAGAGATGTTGAAAGAGTGTGGATGGTGTCTTATATGTAGCAGACCTGAATTCATCAACAAAGACATTTCTACTTTGGTTGTGGTACATGATACTTATGTTTTTTTTTTTTTTCTGAAAATTAGGATTTTATTTAACCAAACTACCAAGGAAACCTGCTCTCACAATCCCAATAAACAAGTGAAAAGATTGCAACCATGGTGCATTCACTAATATTATTGACTTTGTCAAATCAAGATCTCAATCAATCTTGTTAAAGTTTGCTTACTTATTTATTCATTGATTCATGTTTCATAGAATGTGCTTTCACATTATACTTGCCAATACACCATATATTTTGATTTGCCAAAACTCTCATTTTTCCAATTTCCCATGGAATATTTCAAGCAGAAAGATCCATACTTAACACACCACGACACCAAACATACCCTTAATTTGCTAGTGTGGCAATGGCATAAAATAGGAAATCTTGTCAAACAGCTCGGAGCCTTCAGCCAACGGCTCAAATCTACCACGTTACCATCATGGTGATGTTTGGTATGACTTTTGTTTATTTGAAAAATGTTTGTACTTGATTAATCTTCAAAACCAAGAAAAAGTGACTAGCATCATTAGACGTCACATAAACACAACAGTAAATAAACACCTTAATGTTAGGGAAATGTTAAAATCAAACTTTTTCTAACCATTGACTATTTGACTTATACATAATCCAAGAGAAACATTTATTTGATAAACAAATTTACCAAATACATTTTGAAACAAATGCCCACGTAACTATGAGCTAGCATTGTTTTTCAAAGGATAAATTACAAATAGGTACCTGTACTTTGGGGGTAGTGATAGGTACCTGAATTTTCAGTTGTAACAAATATTTCGTCAATTAATCATTACATAATGCCAAAAATATTCTTCTCATCTATTTCTGAGATCATTTTAGGTAATTGAATGTTTCCCCATGATGATGTTACCGCAAGGACAGCAAATAACAAATTCAAATTTTATGGTGACAGTATTTCCCGGTAGAATCATCTCAAAAATATATTAAAAAAATATTTTTGACATTATATAATATTTAATTGACGAAATATTAACGGATGTACGCAAGTCTCTACTTTTTTTTAAGTCAAATAAACTCAAATGCTCCAAAAAGTAGTGATACCTATTTTCACTACCCGAAAGGGTACATATCTGTAATTTTATCCTTTTCAAAATAAACGAAAGTCATACCAAAACGAGATCGATTTTAGTCAGCGCAAAGTCTGTTCGAACAGCGATCGAATAGCCTTTACAGCCTTGCATCAGGAATATTTGATGGGAGATATTCCCAATGTAAGACTATAATGGTTGTTCGAATCGACTTTGTACTGACTGAATCCGGTTTCAAACGGAACATCATGCACATTGGCCACGTTGTAGTGCGGGGTAATTCACCCGTGGGCCGCGGGAGACGCTCCCATCATTCCTATGATTTGCAGTAGGCGCGCTGCGCGCAAATCACCCGCAGGCCGCAGGCGGAGGGTCTGTCTTTTCAATGCGCGCGAGTCCCGTTCCGCTGCACTCTCTTTCTGAATGCTTAACATACATAGACATCCTATTCTTGTTTCCCTACTATCGCCTTATATTCGGATATTCTTCTCCAGCCAAACTTTTCGATTCCAACGTACAAGCGTGGGAACTCAGGACTCAGGAGGTGCAGACGGAACAGGGTGCAGCCCCACTGCCCATATTACCGAGAGTCTGCAGTTCCGCAGGTTTGGTCCCGCGCCTCTTTCTCTCCGTAGTGGCGCGACTCACCATCTCAACTACTGGTTGGTCGTCGCTCATCGGGGTCTCTATTGCCTTCTTGGAACCCGACGTTTTTCTTTCTTTTTTTTCAAATTTCTTTTCGATTGTCGAATTGTTCCTCGCTTTATATTAATAAATTTTGATAAAAAACTATTAGTTTGATTACGTTTGGCGATAAAAATCGACCGTAAATGTTTCTCCACCCGAGCAAGATCGTTGATTTTATGGCATTTTCTTGAAAATTCCGGCTTTGTTGAGGATTCCGATGAATATAAATGGCGACGGCGGCAATGGCTAGTGCCCTCGGTGCGGCATTAATTTTGTATTACGTGTGGAGTCGGAGATGGTCCCCGAAGGACGAGGAAGATGATCGCAGAGGGGACGTCTCGAAATCAAGTCGTTCGAGTAAGAGAAAAATCGTTCGGAGACCTGCGCAGGCGCCTGCCACGTGGTTGGAAGCGATCACCACCCTGTCGGAGACGCTTAGGTTTACGTATTCGGAAACCCTAGGCAAATGGCCGATAGGAGACTTGGCTTTCGGCATAAACTATCTCATGCGACGGCAGGCAAGCACGTCCTTTTTCAACTTTTTGCCTTTGAAGTTTTAACTTCATACTTGACGTCCTTCTTGCATAATGTCATGATTATTGCTTGAATGAATGGATACTTTTCTGCTTTTTGTAAGCTTTCATATTCATATCATGATTCATGCGTCAAAATTTGATCCTGTATGCTTTATTTGCTCAGCCGTGGAGAATACGTACCTAAGGTCTTAACTGCATAATTCTTGAACACAAACCACTTTCTTAGACCATAAACGTGGGTCATTGTTTAAAAAATCATTTTTATGTTCTAACTAAAAACATTTTCACGAAAAAAAAATTTCATTTCTATGGATACCAATACAAAATGTTATTGGAATCTATTTATTCCTTATTGCTTTTAATACCTTTTTATATTGTTTTCAACAAGTTTTATTTTGTTCATTATATCAATGTAAAGTTTTCAATTTACATGGACATAAATATCATATAAATTATTTGTTATAACATGCTTTTTTCTTTCTACTTTACTTCATAAAATATATTTTAATTATATATGATTTAAATAAGTAGTTTTGATGGCATAAGAAGCATACTCACTTGTAAAGCATAAATTTTGTATTAAATAAAAATAATAAAACAATATTTACATCTTAAGATATAAAAAATGGATACATTGATTTTATGTATTATCATAATGAATAGTAATACTAGAATTTTTTAAAACTTTAAGTCTATTCTGAGTGGATGAACATGCATCTTCAAATGTTTAAAAGTGTCACTTTTATTATGATATAGCTATATAATTGTTTAAAATAGAATGTCATCATATAATTTCAAAAAATAATAGTAACAGATACTTTTAAAGATTAATATTTACAATTTTCTAAATTTCTACAAAATTTTAACATGGAATCTCTGATATCTCCAAAATATTTTTATTTTTAAGTGGTTGACATTTTCATCTAAACCAACATTTTAAACTTTAATTGGAGACTTAATGTATTCTGGGATTTTGGAATCTACCAAGACATGTTGGTGGGGGCAAGGTATGTATGCAGTTTAACCTTCCAAAGACCCCAGATAGCTTGGACCAACACATTAGGTAATGACCTTTTATCATCATGTTGGTGCAAGTGTTTCAAGATCTTCTATTGGTGATATAACATGATCTTATATTGTGGTTAAACTTTATAGGGCAAACAGTATTGCATCTGATTTATGGGACCATGCACACCTTACTTCTCAGTCTTACATATCAAAAAAGTCAATATGCAATTTGAGATGTTATCAATGTATGGTGTTGCAGGATAATATGCATGTCGCACGTGTGTATGCTGGAAGTAATTCTGTGCAGCTTAAAGGTCCTGAAGTTATTGTTGAGTTGACTCATCTTCTCAAATTGTTGACTCTTTGCATGCTTTTCTCAAAAAAGCCATTTCCAGTGTTTTTGGCATGTGCTGGTTACTCACAAGAAGATGTGCTTCTTCAAAAACCTAAGGCAGGGGTAAGTACCAGCTAGAAATGAGCTTTATTTGTAATCTTTTTATTTTTTTGTTTTCCTGACTATCTACTCATGGGATGCTCGCTGTTTCTATCACTTCTAAATAAAGAGAAAGTAGTTCATAGATAATGGTAATTATATTACAACTTATATAGTTTTCATTGATGCAATAATGTCTGCAGCTTCTGAAGCCTGCTTTTACAATTTTATGTGATAGAAGTTCAAAATGCTTCCTGCTATTGATTCGGGGAACCCATAGCATTAAGGACACACTAACAGCAGCAACTGGAGCAGTGGTCCCTTTTCACCATTCACTTTTACATGAAGGTGGTGTCTGCAATTTAGTCTTAGGTTATGCACATTGTGGTATGGTTGCTGCAGCTCGTTGGATTGCGAAGCTTAGTACACCTTGCCTTCTTAAGGCACTTGGTGATTATCCCAACTACAAAGTCAAGGTAGACATTATGCTGTAATCTAAGTTAACACCATACCATCTATTTTTTCCTGGTTTTCATGCTTTTCATATCTTGGAACCAATTATGGATTTTTTGAATATAATGACATACAAAAGCAAACACCTCTAAAGGGGTTTACAATGTACCACTCTCAACATCCAATATCATTAGTGAACTGAAAACAAAATCCCTTTTTATCAATAACAAAGAATTTTATTAATTCAAGAAAAGGTGGTAAATTAAAGATACAAGTATACAACTGCCAGCTCCCACAGATATAGTCCCACCCTCAACTATCAGTCAATGTAGCTCAATACAAATGTTCTCTATAAACCCTTTGTTTTGCTAGAGCAACAGCCAATCCATTTGCTGATCTATTTTCCCATTAGAAAAGGTGTTTGTTTGCAGATAGAAGGCTGGAGAAGCTGGACTGCTGGGATGGCTCTGTGTATATAGTCTGATCCTGCTTTCTTATTTTTTGATCAATAACAGTAATTCATTAGATTAATATAAAATTTTAGTTACAGCACTCCAGAGAGAGATAAACAGGCTTAACTCTCTCCAAGGGGACAACAAAGAAAGAAAAATTACAGAACAGCCCAAAACATTTGATCCCTTCCCACCCCCTACTTTGCCAAATCATCAGAAAAAGCATTTGCTGTTTTCTTGGCCCACTGAAACTGGATTTCCAGTCCTCTAGTTAGCCATTTAATTTCCTTCCTCTCATTAGCAAACTTCTCAAGTTCACTACCTTCTTGTAACCAGCTCAAGACCAGATTTGAGTCCCCTTCAACAACTACCTTTTGTATATTCAGTTCCTTAGTTTTCCTTAGACCCTCCAGTAGAGCATAGACCTCAGTTTTAAGAGTCCCCAACCCCAAATGGGACCTGAATACAATGCAAGCACCTTCCCATCCTCATCTCTGAAGACCCTTCCTACACCTGATGGACCTGGATTTCCCTCATTACTTCCATCAAAGTTTAGCTTTGTAAAACCACAGCTTGGTGGTGAGCACACGGGACAAACTGAGGAGCAGGTAGGAGCAGAATTTGCCACCTTTGATCAGCTATTCAGCAACATATCTGTAGAAATATCAACAAACAAGTCCAAGGATTTTAGCCAGTGCACCACCCTAACTGTAATTACTTTAATAAGACTTTCTTTACTTTTTTCAACTTTAGAAAAAATTCTAGTGTTCCTTTCCTCCCATAGAGTCCAGTAAATAGCAGCCCTCACACACCTCCAAATAATTATTCCCCTTTTGTTTGGCCAACGAAGGAACAAAGGGCTAAACAAACTATGAATATTTGGCGGTGGGGTCGACCTACAACCAAAAAAAGGAAAGAAACCATTCCCAAAGATCAGCAGCAAAGGGGCAAGAAACTAATAAATGGTTGGAGCCTTCACCATTAGCCTTGCAAAGAATGCATCAATTCGGAGACAAGCACCAAAAAGGCCAAATGTGCTTCCAACCTTTCTTTTATACTGGGAGAGGGATAACAGGGAAGGGAATTGGTCTTTCAAAGGTATCTCACCCACCCAAATGTGCTTCCAAAATTTTACCTGATTCTTAGAGTAGAGGTCATACTTGATGTGCTACAAAAAGGAAGGAAGAATGGCATGTATAGATTTCCAAGGAGAGGTACAAGTAAACCTTTCCACAGTCCCAAATATTGTGATCTTGCTTTCAATATTTACCCATTTGAAAGAGTTCTGTATCTCACTTGCAATCTTTATAATTTGTCTAAGTCATAGTTGTCAAGGCGACGCCTAGGCGACAAGGCGCCCTTTGAGGCTTGCCTCGCCTAATCGCCAAGAAGTTTTGTACTATGTATTATAAAATACTTTTTTTATTCTTTATTTTTTCACATTATAATTTTAAATAGGCACTATTAAACTAAACTATTCATTTTGTGTGTTTAAATACTAATTTCTTTTTATTATTTTCTTATTTGTTAGGGTTTAATCAATACAAACATTGCTAAATGCTGTATTGAACCCTCAAAGACTTTAAAACCTGAACCAATAAGTAAGGAAGAACTTAAAATTTTCTCTAATCAACACATTTTCTACTACTAATTTTTTTCTTCTTTTCCTATAACAAAAATAAGGGTTCAGCCCTTATATTTTTTGAATGCTCTTTTCCTTCTTTTTTTTCTCATTAATATGTTGATTTTCTATACTTTAACATGAACTCTATACTTTTCTTATGAAAATTATGAATAATTATTAAGGAAATATGGTTATGGTACCTACGGAACTACCCTAGGATCTATGCTTTCTACATAAAAAAATCCATCGCCTAGGCAACTAGGCGACTAGGCGCCCCCTTGTCGCCAAGCCTTGCCTTGGCGCCTTGAAAACTATGCTCTCAGCTCTTGTCTATATACCCATCTGCCCTGGCTGCTTTTTCAACCAACCTAACACCAACATAGATTCACCTTCAACCTCCACTTGCCTTAAGTTTAGTTGTTTGACTAGCCTCAGGTCTTGTAATAAAGAAGAAATTTGTATTGGTTGTTAAGAAGAAACACAAGAATATTTAAAAACAAAAAACACTGTGGATATCCTTCTTGATGTAATATGGCATGAGTGGCGGTTTGGGTGTTAACAACAAACAGTGGCAGACAATTGCAACCCACTCCACCAGTAGACTGACAGTGATCTAAGCTCTAAAGGAATGAAAATTAAAATTGAATTTTGATGGCTGCAATCTAGAGAACACAGGGCCATTGGTAATAGGTGGAATTTTCAGAGACTATTATACAAGCTCTTCTAGATTATGCAATAATGGACAACTTGGTGTTGGTTACTATCTAAGGGCTTAACTAAGAGCCCTTCTGTAAGGTCTTAAAATTTCTTCGACTAGGACATGGAGGGATTTGATGATGGAAGGTGATTGCCAAGACAGCAAGAGGGGATAAAATTTATTACCTAAGGGGGGTTGGGCTATGGCCTCTTTAGATCCATGCTGAGAGATGCACAAACTCTAGCAACTAATCTGAATTGTTAAGAAAAAGAAACAAAAAAGTAAATAAATAAAAGCTGATAAAAAATCTGAATTGTTCATTTGGATGGGTTTCTAGATCAGTAAATGAAAGGGCAGATACATTATCAACAAATGTATCAGTAGAGAAGACTTCTTTTTATCGGGGAGATACTGAACCAGAGAGTTCTAAACTATTTTTGCTTTTTTTAAGTTTCTATTTTTTTTATTTCTGTTGTATTTGTTTTGACAGCTTTATGCTTTTTGGGGACTGTGATTGGAACTGTTTTTCTTCTATGTTTTAATAAAAGTTGAGAGAATTAATGATAAAACGTATGAGGAGAAATCTTCAAAGCCAATGCCCACTCCATTAGAAAACTGCCAATGGCTGGATGTATCTAGATAAAAGGTCTTTCTGATATATCAAAAATATTTGTTCTCTTTTCTTTCCATATGGTTAACAGATCACAAAAGGGACTATACAAGATTGCCTCCAGTTGGCAGGCCAAGAGAGGATTAAAGAATGAACAGAACAAGGAAAAATCTATCTTTTCTAGAGTTGTATTTTATTTTTATTAACTTCTTTTCTTAATTGGATCTAAGCAGTTCTGTTTTTAGAAAAACTTTAGTTGTGGTCCAATTTAAGTTCAACTAATGTTTAGTGAAAGCTGAAGTTCTGTAGCTGAAGCAGTAGAAGAGGGGAGAAGACCAAGAGATGCTGTGAATGTCAAACTGAACTAACCCAGTCGACATTACTATTATTTATATTAAAGTACAGTACAATGTTACATGAAATGACTGGGATGCCCTTGATTAGTGATGGGACACCCAGAAAACTTAAAACACTAAACAAACTTAGGCCCATTAACACAGGCCCAATACATAACAACTTAAACTCAAATACAGGCTAATAAGAACTCTTATCAACCGAACCATCAATACATACAAAACCTTCAGCCTAACACTCCCCCTCAAGCTAAGCATGGATGTCAATCATGTTTAGCTTGCCAAGAAGGTCCATGAACTTTGTTGCAGCCAACCCTTTAGTCAATACATCTGCAATT